ACTAAAAGCTCTTGATAGTAGCTGGACTCAATGATCCATAGGGTCCCTTCCAGCTCTGGAGTTCTAAGATGATTGTTATATTATTGTTATATGGGTGTTTTCAGTTTTCATGTGCATGTCTCCATTCCACTGCGGAGGAGAAACCACTTTTCTAAAGAAGGGTGGCCAAGCCATTGTTCGGGGGGGGGGGAATGGATATTTTCTATAAACAAGGTATGTGGAGGCCACATTGTGTTCTCCTGTATGTTCACTGCAGACATAAGCCTTCTATTGTTCCAGAGCAAAAGTAAATCTAAAAGTGTAAGAAAAAACCATTATTTGCTCTGAGAGCCACCAAAGAACACCAAAGAACAGCCTCCAGAATTTCTAGCCAGGATTCAGGAGGAGCCTGGAAACTGGAGTCCCCAAATTAATTTCTCCAAGCTCCAACTTGCAAATCTAGGAAAATATCCAAGTACAGTACATAGAAACCTGCTTTTCATTGGCTTGGCACTCTTCCTTTTAAAGTAGTGGTTCCCAGCCTCGGGCTCCCAAATGTTCTGGGACTACAACTCCCAGTAAAGTAGTGGTTGCCAGCCTTGGGCTCCCAAAAATTCTGGGACTACAACTCCCAGAAATCCTGATCAGCACAGCTAGTGGTGAAGGCTTCTTGGAGTTTTAGTCCAACAACACCTGGGGACCCTAAGAAGGGAATCACTGTTTTAGAGAATGATGATCTTTCTTGTGGTGTAAGCCAAGATGAGCTATGCCAGGTTGACTCAGCCTTCCATCCTTCCGAGGCTGGTGAATTGAATACCCAGCTTGCTGGGGGTGGGGGAACGTTAAGAAGGGAATCACTGTTTTAGAGAATGATGATCTTTCTTGTGGTGTAAGCTAAGATGAGCTATGCCAGGTAGGAAATCTGTACTTCCTCAGTAGCCTTTGTTCTTCAGTGCTAGAGCATCCATAAAGTAACTTCGTATTCTCCACTTGTGGACTTGATTGGATTAGACACAGTCCATTCTCAACCTTCAACCAGCTTTCCCTGTTTGATGATCAGACTGGGAGTGTGAGAACTCCTCCCCCTCCCCCTCCCTCTATGTGATCTTCTGTGTCTCTGATCTTATGGAGGTGGCGAAGCAAATTTTTCAAGGAATTAATGAGTGCACACACACACACCCCGAAACAGAACGGGTCATATGCATGTATTGCTCATCATCATCTCCACTGAGAAAACGATAATTGCTGTTGGGATTCTCTTGACCATTATACTGAGCTACTTTAATCTACCACTTTGTCACCCTTTATTTGCCCCAGCCTAGGTTAGTAGTGGCCCCAGGTTGATCACCTCCCCATCCTGTGTATGTTCAAGAACAAATCCGTGCAAGGGTAAAGGAAAACAAATCTGTAGTTACTGTCAGTTTCCTTTTCTTATTAAAACATCTTCTAATTGTTTAAGCCTTAAAGCAGCTCCTGAATTCTTAAAATTACATTTTTAAAAAAAGAATCAGATATGCTAGCAAGTTCACAATAATTCATATTTTCACACAAAACAAGAACAATGAATATTTAGGTTGGTCCCTTGTGGTGTCATGGTTTGTAATCTATAATTCAAGTAAATCTCTTTCCTCAGGAGTTCCTTATGAATACAGTATCTATAAACTTTCTTCCGGTTGGTAATTATTGGTACTAGATGCTCCTAAAAGCCTAGCGAAGATGCCTTTGCATAAGTGCTCAAGAGGGCATAAGCATCTTTTGGAGTGCTATTTTGTTTTTTAAAAAATGGGGTGTGATGAGGTGCTGAGAGGCAGAGATGGCCCGCTTAGAGTCACATGCAATCTGCAGGCCATGTATTCCCCACTCCAGGATAGAAGGTCTTTGGTAGGAGTGAGCCACATGTCACCTATGAGTTGAATGCGGCTACCCAGAAACCCATATCTGGCCCCTTAGCAGCCCGTCATTGCTCATATGATATGGTTGGCTTGCATAGAATTATAAAATTGAAACAAACATTGGTGAGTCAAACCCTACAGGAAATCAAGAGCCAGAGTGTCATGAAAATATGAAGAGTACTCTCATGTTCCCTCTTCTTGATGTTGAATCAAGAAGCTTCTTCAAGCTACGCGGGAAGCGACCATAAATCAGTGATAGAGTACATGTTTTATATATACAGAAGTTTCTGTGTTCAACCTCCAGGTTACAGAAGGCCCATTCACTTAGGAATCAACAGGACTGACCCCTCTCTGCCTCAGGCTTCCTACAGTCTCACAAACAAATTCAATTATTCCTGCCTCTTATGCAGCTGTTAACAACACAGGCAGTAAAGTGTTGTCCTTGGTTTACTTAAAAGAATAGTGCATGATTCAATTTAGATGCAGTGCTATAAAAACCATTCCAGCTAAATCCTAATTGATAAGAAAAAGAACCCCCACTGAATTTCAAGAGAAATTTGTCATCTTGCTCTGAAGGCAACAGCTCTAAGAATTTATTCATGAATGAAAACATTTTCAGTAATGTCTCTGTTTAATTGACACTCAGCTGCATAAATATGATGTTTGCCACATGCTTATGAGTTTTATTATAATGGTTTTGAAGCCATAATCGGAAGACTGTTTCTCCAGAAGATTCATTTATATTTTATTTGCACATTCCATGTCGGACTGCTCAGATTCTTTCCTGGGGGGAAAATGCCATAAGCCAGTCATTCTCAATTGGGGTGTGTGTGTCATATGGCCCCCCTGGGGGGCCCTGGCACATTTGAAAGGGACCACCAACTTGAAACTATTCTTCACATACCATCCTATAAGGTTCATTATGCAACTTTTCCAATCCTGATTCGGCTTATACAGTATTTCTTCCCTATTTTTTCTATGGCCATGGCCCAAACAAGCTTGAGGAGAAAAAGAAAAGAAAGAAACAGAAAGAAAAATTAAAAGACAGAAAATTTTCAGAAATAGACCACACTTTTTTTTCCAATTGGAAACCTCTCTTTTTGTTTGGAAAACAATTGGGAGCAGGGTGGGGGTTGAACAAGCAGTCCTCCAAAATCTGGTTTCAGGATGAAAGTGAAACCAACAAATACAATTTCGTTTCCCCATAAATAGGGAGGGATGAGGTTAAGTTTGAATCCTTCCATTAATACAAAAAAAGTCCTAGCTTTCAGTCTTGTTACTAAGTGATAAATGAAACACTCAGCCAAAGTGTTGTCAGGAAGAAACAATGGTTGCCCTTAACTGTAGGAGTGGTAAAAAAAAATCACATGGTTACCCTCGGATTGTTCCTGTCATACGGATGCTTGGAGCAGAGCTGCTGGGTCAGTAGGGAGAGAAACGTTAGTTAGTTTTAGCCAGGAGAAGGGTTTTCTGCTAAGCCTCTCCCTTACCCTTCGGTCCCCTTTCTTCCCACACCAAGAAACCAGTAAAGGTTATACGACAAAGAAGAGGGTTACATTGCGGAAAAAACAAACATCCTTTATTTAATTTGGGTTTCGGTTGTTTTTTGTTTTTGTTTTTGTTTTGAATTGCTGTAAAAATGGTGAATACATGATGCATGTGTAAGAGCAGGTTATACATTTGAAGGGGAATTGTGTTTTTTTTGAAGTGGCAGAAAGTGTTCTTTTTTTAAAACTATTCCACAAGAGGTGAATGTATTCTAATGCAGATGTGAAATTGACTTGATTCTCCCTAAGTGAACGCCTCAGTCCGTGTGAATCAACCACTTGGTCCTGCTGTTGTTGTGTTTAAAGTGGGGGGTGGGGGAGCAGCCTGGAGGCCCCCCCAATGCCACTCACTTGCTTGCCCAAATCTTCCTCCAGTCCCAGGGTGGGGATGGGGGAATGGATAAGGCAAGCTCAATTCAAGTTGGCATCTCTTCACCGAGACAGCATGCAGACCCCCAGAACCAGTGGTTGAAAGGCCGGCCAGCCAGCAGGCAGGCAAAATGTCAATGCTACCACCACCTCTCCTGTTCCCTCTCCAGCCAGCCAGTTTCAGCCTATGTCTCCTCCGGCCTGGCTGTGTGTGTATGTGTTTCGTTTACGTGTTTGTGGTGTGTGTCAGCCACAAGGTGCTGCTGTGCACATGAAGGCTTTTCTAACACCAGCTTGCTCAGCTGTTTCCTATTGCATTTCCCTCCTCTGGGTGCACACATCCAGGGTATACACACATATACACCCACTCACCTGCCCCTCTGAATTCCACCCTGGGGTTGGAAAGAGAGTGCACACATCTGGATGTCCCTTCAAAAACACCAGATCAAATGTTTGTTCCAAGGGAATGCAAACTGAGGTTCCAACACCACATGATGCCATGTGACTCAGAGTCAATTTAGAGTTACACCAACACATATTTTGAAATAGTGCTCTAATGTAAATGAGCCCTAAGCTGATGAGTATGCTACAGAAGTAAAATGCCGTGCGGTGTTCATGTTCCTCTCAAAAATCAGAACTCATCAGTTGAAACAGTTATCATACAAGCTTTCTGAAGTTTTCAATTAAGTGAGAAGGGTGGGAGGAAATACAAACACTGGTATCTGTTTTTCTTCTCTTTCAAGTCCCAGTTCTTTCCTGTAATGTAAAGTTGCAGAAAAAAACACTGAGTTGCTTCCATATTCTGAAGCTGAAAGATCAATAATGCTGTTTTCTCCCCAATCTGTTCCACAGTGGGAAAGCAGCCGGGAGCAAAACTGAACACTGTATGTACAAAGTTGCATTCATAAAAGCTTCTGTGTCTACACAATCGACATGAAAATGAAACCCACTATTTACCGTCCAGCAACCAATCACCAAACCAATGCAAACTAATTTGCAGCACAGCAGTGGAAAATTAAAGAGCAGGCTGGGTAGGTGGGGCTCGTCAGCCACGGAAGGCAGCCTATCTAGGAGAAGAAAAACTCTGATTCCAAACCTCCACTGCCTTGTGGCTATATCCTCTCATGGAAAAGGCTTCAGGAGTTAACCTAGAGGCAAAATCCAGTCCCAGGGTGGGGATGGGGAAATGGATAAGGCAAGCTCAATTCAAGTTGGCATCTCTTCACCGAGACAGCATGCAGACCCCCAGAACCAGTGGTTGAAAGGCCGGCCAACCAGCAGGTAGGCAAAATGTCAATGCTACCACCACATCTCCTGTCCCCTCTCCAGCCAGCCAGTTTCAGCCTGCGTCTCCTCCCGCCCGGCTGTGTGTGTATGTGTTTCATTTACATGTTTGTGGTGTGTGTCAACCACAAATATGTCCTGAAGGCAGTTCGTGTCGTTCTGCCAACATGTCCCGAAGGCAGTTCGTGTCGTTCTGCCAACTCCTGCGACGTTGCTGGAACCAGTTGTATTGGCTCTTGCCTTTCCATTGGACTATTTCAGCAACGTGGAGAGGGGGGATCTGCTGCTTGGGTAAAAGCCTGTCCTCCGTATTACTTTACCCAGGCTTCATGCTCTGGAGAGGACACTCCTCGATTCAGAGCATGTTACCATGAAGGATGCCTATGGGGGGGCAGTGGAAAATTGGTCAGAGGATAATCAAATGTCATTTACTCTTGTAGGCAGTGGTGCTTCTAATTGTTATCCTAACTTATGAATGTCCCTGTCATGGGGCAGTTTTATCAGACAGAAAGAAAACTAAAAATATCTATACTCTCCTGAGAACTTCCTTCAAGAAATTCTGATTGGTCTAGAGCTTTTGCTTTCAAAGAGATGAGAATGGTTGCTTCTCTCCTCCCTCAGCCAAAAACAGTATGAAATAGCTGTATTAGTGCGCAAATTACTGTTGTTTTTGCTATAATCAATATTTGGTGGTTTGCAAGTTTTGCTTCTAAAAATTTGCAAAATCTCTTGGCAAAAGATTACAAAATGGAAAAAGAAAAAGAACGTGTCCATATCAACGGTGCAGCTAGGTGTAGAATTGAGAATTTATGATTTTGGATTATAATCCATGGAATTAGGGAGCCTAAACATAAAAATGTTTTCAAGGCATGGCTTTACATGGCAGCTCTTCTGAGTGGGAAGGTCAAAGAGATGGGAGAAGGGCAAAGAGGCCCAGCAGCTGCACCTGCCCAGATTGGGCATGGGGGATGCTCTGCCATCCTCTTTGCTCTGGAGGGAGAAGCAGAAATGCTGCCATGGAATATTTTTCACAGCTTCCACTTGAGTTTCCTGTTGTTGTTGTTGTTGTCATGTCCTTTCAAATCACTTCCAGTTTATCGTAGCCCAATGAATGAGTGACCTCAAAATGTCCTGACATTAATAGCCCTGCTCTGTTGTTGCTGCTGTTGGTGGTGTTGCTGTTGTTGTCCAGCATTCACATCTGTGCATAAACATCAAGAACACCACAGACTTTATTAACCAACATCCCTCAGTTTTCCTCTTGGCCAATAGGTGGTGATGAATGACTTACCATTTATCTCAAAAGAACAAGCTTTCGGAACCTGCTTCTTGCTCTTTATTCCAAGGTCAGTCTAGATATAACTTGGGAAAGTTACATTTTAGGACCACACCCCTCCCCAGCTCCAACCACAACCACAGCTAGCCACAGCTGTTCCTTTGAGATGTCCCTCCTTCTTCAGAGCTCAGCTGCAACCCTCACATAGGCTGTGATTATATTGACATTATATTGTCTTTGGGGTGACAAAATGCAAAAAAGAAAAAGAACATGTGCATATCAACAGTATTATTGCCTTCTCCATAGAGTCCTGTCTTCTCATAATACATTCAGCTTCAGTTTCATCATTTTTGTTTCTAGTGCGAATATGGCCTGATTTGATCTAGTACCCACCTATTTGCCTTTTTGGTGGTCTGGGATATCCATGAAGCTCTTCTCCAACATGACATTTCAAATAAACCAATTTTTCCCTATCAGCTTTCTTTGATATCTGGCAGGCTGGATAGCTCAGTGGCTTCAGTATATGGCTGTGGAGTCAGTAGTTAGGGCTTCAGTTCTGCACTGTGCCTCGTTTGAATGGAGCCACCTTGGGTACTTTTAAGGAGAAATTATTAATTAATTAGGCCTTTGGACAGCTGCACAGTCCCATGATGCCCCCCAGAAGTAGGGAATGGTAAACTATTAGTGAGAATTCTCTGCCTGGAAAACCCTGAAAATTTTCTCCACAATTAGCATGGGTGACTCTGAAGTAGTTTTCAGTGATCACATGATGCAAAGGTCAATGAGAATCAGTCTAGCCCTTTTTGCCTCCAATTTGGAGTTTTTTCTCCTGCTGTTGGCAGCTTCTACTTTTTAAATGCTGGAACAGTTCAAGCAGTGCTTTCCCCATGTGATTGTTTATTTAGTTCTACAAAAGGACAGGGGGTGTGACTTCAGGTGGTGCTATGGTGATGTGTTAAGCTGGGGTGTGATGTTTTGGGAGAGCGGGAAAACCCCACACTGACAATATTTCTCCCTAATTGTCCCAATGTATTTTTTTAAAAAATAAAAAAATAAACGACCAAATTTCACACTAGATGGCCTGATCACTGCATTGATATATTAGTTTAGTGCTAGATCACTCAGCACAGAAAATAAATAAAAAGAGAGAAAGCCAGGAATCTTTACATAGGCTGTATCACATTGCACTGGATAGAGGACCAGTGTGGACACTGTCACTAAAACCATCTGGGGACTTCATGTGATAAAAAGAGACTGCAAATCAAGCTGCAACAAGTCATTCTGATTCAGCTTGTCAGTATAGTTTCACCCATAGCTGAGGGCTATGGGTAATGATACTTTCCTGGGCTCCATGACCACCGCAGATGATGACAGCAGCCACAAAATTCAAAGATGCCTGCTTCTTGGGAGGAAAGCAATGACAAACCTTGACAGCATCTTAAAAAGCAGAGACATCACCTAGCCAACAAAGGTCCGCATAGACAAAGCTATGGTTTTCCCTGTAGTGATGTATGGAAGTGAGAGCTGGACCATAAAGAAAGCTGACCGCTGAAGAATTGATGCCTTTGAATTGTGGTGCTGGAGGAGACACTTGAGAATCCCCTGGACTGCAAGGAGATCCAACCTATTCATTCTAAGGAAAATCAAGCCTGAGTGCTCACTGGATAGATCAACCCTGAGTGAGTGCTCACTGGAAGGACAGATTCTGAAGCTGGGACTCCAATACTTTGGCCATCTCATGAGAGGAGAAGACTTCCTGGAAAAGTCCCTGATGTTGGGAAAGTGTGAAGGCAAGAGGAGAAGGGGACGACAGAGGATGAGATGGTTGGATGGTGTCATTGAAGCGACCAACATGAATTTAACCAAACTCTGGGAGGCCATGGAAGACAGGAGGGCCTGGCGTGCTCTGGTCCATGGGGTCACGAAGAGTCGGACATGACTTAACGACTAAACAATATTCCCAGTAATGAACAATCCCAGTTCATTGTTGTGACCTACCCCTCCTATAATTCAAAATACTGAGGTATGGCTCGGCCTTCAATGGCTTTTGAGGAACCTGTCAGGTTTACAAAGTCCTGCTTTCAGTGGAAATAACAATAGATAGAATGACTTTCCCCCCTATGGTTCAGGAGAACTGCTTGTATCTCTCAGTTCTCTTTGGAGCTTTGTCTCAAAAGCTGATCCTCATGAGTACTTGAGTTTCCTCTTTTTTTAAAAAAAAAACTTGTCCTAGACTATGGAACTTCCTTCTGTCTTAGAAGCCAGGTTGAACCTCTTTCTGCTGTCCTTCTGCAGGCAGGTAAAAGCCTCTTTTTCTTACAATCCTTGTGTTCATAGGCAAGCAACCAGCTGATTTTAGGACATGAAACTACACCATGCATCTCGAAGCAACCCTGTTTAACCTGATTCAGCCCCAGATAATTTGAGTTTCTAGCTACAACCTGAGTTATAAGTTCAGTTGTGGTAAGACGTGGGAACTGTGAGTTTAAGAACGGGGTATCTGGACTACACAGTTATGAGAGTCTGGTGCTATTTTAACTGGGACTAGGTAAAAGCCCGAACGGAACAGAACAGGGCAGAATGGTGACTTCTTAATAAAAATGGATGCCAAGAACAGCGAGATGTGCTGTACAAACATCCAAACAATATTTTAGACCTCAAACCCAATGAAAATTACTCTTTTATTAACCCAAACCTGCCAGAACAGAACACAATGGCCCGGAATGGCAACTTCCATGTAGGATAACCCAACCAAATTCACAACTAGACATGGGGATGAATATGAAAACGAATACGAAGCAACGAATATAACTCTTTTATTTTTGACCCTTTGTTCCAACAGGGCTTAGTGAGGGGAGGGGAAAAGGGATCAAAGCGATCGCACAGCCACACTTTGATTTCTGCTTTCCCTCCTCTTGCTATGCTGCGCGGGGCATGGCAAGAAGAAGGAAAGGGGGGAAAAATGACCCAGCAAATGAAGAATTGATTTGTTGTTCATCAGGTCACTGTGGATCAATTCGTGATTCATGGGTCATCAAGTTTGACGACTCACTAACCAAGACAAAGTGCTATTTTGGCGCTTCATCCCCATCTCTATTCACAACACATGGCTTTTCGAGACAGATGCAGCAAGCCACAAATCATCTACAGCAGCAGTCCCCAACCGTTTTGGGACCGCGGACTGGTTGGGGGATGCGGGCTCCGTGTGTGGGGTGCGTGGGCACCCCCGCACTCATGGGAGGGTGTGTCACGCTTGTTGGTGGGCATGTCATGCTCGTGGGTGGGTGTTGTGCTCATGCGCATGTGCGCAAGCGCAACACCCCCACCTGCGAGCGCGAGATGTACACCATGCGTGTGTGTGGGAGGGTGTGTCACACTTGTGGGTGGACGTGTCATGCTCGTGGGTGGGCGTTGTGCTCATGCACATGTGCGCAAGCGCAACACCCCCACCTGCGAGCGCGAGATGTACACCATGCGTGTGTGTGTGTGGGGGGGAGATCCGTATCCGCAGCCCAGTTCCAGTATCTGTTTGGGGCAGAAAATCAATGCAGCCCAGTTCCAGTGTCTGTTTGGGGCAGAAAATCAATATTTTGAAAAACAGCCTGGAATGGCAACTTCAGAGTAGCTGAGCCCAACAATATTCACCAGCTCCATCCAACTATTGGCTATTGATTTCCTCTAGATGGTGTGTCTATTACAAGAGTGTGCCTTTTTAGGGACT